AAGTAGATTTGAAACGTAAATGAGACTTTTCGCTATATACACAAATGTACTAATGAACCCAAGGGTATCATAAAACTTGTAATGTTGAAAAACAAATTACATTCCAATGATATTAAACGGGAGTGGGTGTTGCAGCGACTTGCATTATGTTAGATTTTATAGTTAAAATGATAGGAATAACTTAAATTGTACATACGTCACATGTATATTAACACATAATACCATGCAATACAAACAATATTGATACACATTTTATGAGCAGCAATTCTTATGCTAGCAAGACAAAAAATGATTACAACGTTCACGTTTATTTTCAAACTTTCAATACAATGCTTTGGGTTTGGTAAAGTCAATAATATCGCAGATGTGAAATTATCTTTCTTACACTGAATTTATTTAACTTACATGAAAATATATGTTAAAGGATTTATCTTTCATTTTATAGCTTACATTAATACCTTTATTATAATAGTTTAAAGTTGAAATAACTCAATAAAATCGAGTATTAAACATTTTGATTATCAGCCATTTGTTAAACCATAATGTAAAAATGTTTTGAAACCAAATAAGTCGTTTGATTGCAAACGACTTTTATTGGAAGCTGTTATAAACGTCCGATATACACGTGTTGACAATAAATGCCATGCAATATAAACAAACATAGACAAAATTGCAATTATTGAAATGCATTATCATCTGGTTAATTTATTTAATTCTGACCGAAAGCAAGATAAAAATCATATTATTTGCCTACGTACATTCTACGAGAAAGTTATTTATAAGATATATCTGATTATAACTGTAGCACAACAGTATCAGAGTAATGGATGGACTTTTTCTGAAGCTTAATCAATGTTTACGTTATTTTCATGCTAAGCAAACAAGAGAGGTCATTGCCATCGAGAAAGAAATAAATGAATTGATATATAAATAATTACGTATTCGATTAGTGTAATATTTCTATTTAGACAAAAAAACGGTTTAATCTAGATTCATTCAGTTTGTTATTTTAATACAAAAGAAACTGAACGATGTAATTCATAAATTATAATTTCAATCAATTATATGAAATTAAGAATAAATATTTTTAATAGAAAACGCTATAAGCTTAGCCATACAGTAGTAAATTATTTAAATTTATAAATGAGATATTTAAAATATTACAGTATAAATATATCCCATGAGAATAATATTTTCAATAACCAGTTGGTGTTTCGAATGATTGCATTGTCAAGAACCGTAAACAATTGGTGTCTTGGTGATTATTTTTCTGCTCCTAATATAGTGATCTGCGGACACATGTTACGGCCTAAAAAGTAAACTTAAGACGATAACATTTGCGGTATTCATGCCATGTATCAGTTTATAAGTATAATTCATATAATAGTTTTGGTGTTCTTTAAGAAAAATATTGTTAGGTGCATAGTAAATATCTATCACCGCTGTAAGAAAACATATACTGATATATGTATATTCAAAATGTCACAATATTACATTAATGATATGAATGTTGAATCCTGCAAAATACGGTGACTGGGACGTCGACGTGGGGGGTGGGGGGGGGTAAATTGCACTGAACACTTAAGTCAACGAACAAGCTTAACTAAGCCGAGCATGAAGCATTTTTCGACTTTACCGTTTCATGTTGTTTTTTTGTTTTTTTTTTTGGGGGGGGGGGGGTTGTGTGTTTGTTTGCGTGCGCATGTGCCTGTATTTGTGTGATAGATCTATATAAAATATATGCCCAGTGAACATTGTCATCAATTCAATTGCGCAGTAATGTGATAAAATACAATAAATTAATATAGCTGTAAGTAGATTTTGAGTTAAACAAATATTGTCATTAACGTTTTCGTGTGACTGGATGATTACATAATGTGTATTGAAATATAAATATTCATGACTTAAACTTTTTCACAATATGCGCTTCCAACATGCAATGATGAGCTTTAATGGAAATTCTATGAAACAACCCGAAAGAAATTTGACAGCCAGAATTGATTCCCAAGCATTCAATATTAGTATTTTTATTGGACAAAATGCATTCTATGGACAAAGTTTTATACATGTATTAACCTTCTGAAACAAGAGGAGCAAGTATTTATAGCTTATTGGAAACATTTATATATATTAATGTCAAAAATAACGTTCCACATTGCACATGCACGGATAAAATAACGATAAAATTTCCAAAAAAATCACGAATGAATCGACAGATAGAGCAGTTCATTCGCAGTTGTCTTGGTTATCTGGCCAACTTAGTTATTCATACAATCTGAATACTCATCAATTACACTTAATGAGGAACGTTGTTAAATAGAGAGTAAAATCACGCCTGATTTTAAAATTGTCTTTGCTTCCTTTTTATTTATGACATTTGAACGTTCGTGCAACACAGCGATTCAATAACGTGTTTCAAGACAAAATTAAAACACATTACATGATATTGATGAGATTTAACATCAACATGCAATATTTCCTCATTAAAGTTACATGTTCTAACATTTCATTAAAATCTAAACACGAAAACTTTATTCTGATTAACATGCGCTCTTGTTAAGTTCGGTGTTTATAGGATGAAATGTTATCATGCCAGTATATATTGAGCAACATATGGCTTGTTTTACATAGAGAGTATTACACGCAATGACAGAATGATGGGAATTCCGCTAAGTATATAGGAAGTTAGTTTGCCATCACTTTCCACCAGCTCACTCTATGTTTTACCCTTTCAAAATCGGCAATTACACTAACGATCAAAATAATGATATAGCAAATGGATGCAAACATTCAAATCAAAATGTTAGCTACGCAGGCATTCTGTGAGCATTTTTGTTGACACATTTAACGTAAATTTTTCCAGATTCGTTTTTGTATCAGTTTGGAGGGTCTTCTTTGCACAATGTAAGGCCCAAAGCCCTAACCCAAGCAAGGTTTCCGCGTGTCATGCTCGCTTTTAGCATTGGCGATTTCTTTTGTATTTACAGTGTATTAATTTACGTAAAACACACCATTTTCTCGTGCCAAATAAAAATATATTGTGTAGATGGCACCTTTTAGCTTCCGTAGATTCCATATTTAATTCACAGCCAACATTGAATATTCACAAGGCATAATACAATATTACAGGTTGTTAAGTTATCGAGGTCTAGAACAAAGCTTGATAATTTTCTAAATGATAGATATTCAAATTAGGAAAGAGAGAAAATAATGCACGAAACGACAATACTGTGTCACTACTTGCGCTGCGCACATGACTTAGCTGCCTGAAACACATTGCTCTTACGTCAGCGTGTGTGTCAAACATAAACATGACTAAATCATTAGGTTGAAAGGCCCATTTTACTTTGAGATGAGGCCAATATGAAAAATGTTTGCAAAAGTGGCATTCGCTCGAAGAATATAGCATTGTTGAGAACATGTTTTATTCCATTGTTGTCCTATGTACATGACATTTTTAAACAACACTAACACCCGTTTATGATAACGATTAGATGGACAAAGAATTATGATTGACCGGTTGATTGAAATATACTGACATAATTACTTCTAAATAAAAACAATTGATTATGAATTTCCAGACAACTTAGGTAAAAGATATAACTGGTAAAAATTTCCTTTTCATCAAATGCAAAATCCCCCTATTTACTTAACTTAAATGATATTAAATGAGTGTAGATTCAAATCTAAATTAATTGGATGAGTTGTCTATAGTTATATTGCACGAAACTCAGACGAGCATAATATTTTTGATAACATTTTTGATTGATTGAATGTCTTCAAAACATTTAGAGATGAATCTACATGAACAAAATGGTTTATAAATCACGTACACAATAAGTACAAAAATATGTTTCTCATTTACGCGTTTATAAATTAATGCACAAATTTAGCGCGTATTTTCAAAACAAGTGACGTAAGCACGACTTTTACGTATTGCAAAAGGGGCGGGATATGTGATAAAGACTGGTATTTCGTCACATACACAATATTTTGAGTCATCAATTTTGCCAATTTCAATTTGAATTCAGGATTTTTATTTTAACGTCATAAATGCAAACATAGAATTGACATTTAGCACTCAAAAACCATAACCTTGTCATCATTATATTTAAGTTTAACATTAAATTAGTTTCAGCTTTCGTGTCTCCGAATAATAACACAATAGGAAAATGAATAGCAAAGTGAAATGAAATAAATATTCATTGCCACAAATCAATATTGACAAACATTACTTTAAACGTGCAATCAAAACCAAGATTAAATCAAGATATTACAAAAATGGGAGAACTAAGAAATGCATCAAAGAACCGTATGATGATATTAAAACATCATATAATGACGCTTGTCGTTAAACAAAACTGTGTTTCCATCAATGCAACAGACAAGCAAGTAAATTTCACTGTCTCCTACATTGTATAATTCTATTGTGAATGGCCATGTATACTTATTTTTATGAATAGATGTTTTATATGTACATGAATATGCAAAATGTGTAAACAAATGTATACGTTGATAAATCATAAATAAATAAGTTAAAGTGTGTATTACGCCGTTTGTGGCATAATTTTTGACACGTGGAGACACGCCGGACCGGACAATAAAATAGTCAGTTAATTTTATGGCCGAATAAACAACTGGCATATCGCGGCAATTTTATTATAGTTACTATGATATCAAAATTCTACGGGCTAATATATAAAATATTACTTTTGCAAGCGAATGGCCGATTCATTTTATTTTTTTTTTTTTTTTTTTTTTTCATAGAGCAAAATGTTATTTTCACTAAGCATTACTGATCAAGTAACTGGCGATTATAATAATTTGAACATAGAAAGATAAAGAAAAAATCTTATTCGTTTGCTTTTGACTTTATTGTGGTAACATCGTATCAGTTACAATAATTCAGTAATCATTAATTCATTAACAATATTATATATCATGGTAATTTTCAAATACAACAATTACTAATCATTTCCTCCTCATGAATATCAAGGACCCTGACATTGTCAGCATAAACTAATGCCGCTGTATGTTGTGTCTCTCATAGAGAGCATGTGTTCGGTGAAAAGTGACTCGGTGTTTTCTTTTTTCCCTCAGTATGAACGTGCCAGCATTCTTTTGGTGTGCGGGGTTACTTCGGCAGTCTGTTTCTGATTTCGTAGTGAACCATTCTTTAGGAAAATGGTAATGTTATGATGTATCATCAGAATGACAGACGATTGACGTTCAGGAGACGACGCTTTTGTAGACGCTGAAAGAAATAATCACCATCGTCAGCTGCCATACCGGAACTTCAAAGCTAGCGGTTCCAGACGTCACTTCCGTTTCCGGTGCGTAGTCAAACTCGTCGTAGAATTTATCGTAATCTTCAGCCTTCTTGTCCATTCCAACCATATATTCTGGATTGTGTTCGTAACCTTCGACATATGATAATTTTTCTGCAAAATAAATATTATTCATAACGGTCAACAAATATATTATGATCAATAAAATAAAAGTGGCATGACATGAAACAATGTATTTTTTAATTCTTTAAAACGACAAATAAGTGTATAGCAGCCTAATCTAGAAATTTGAATTATGAATGAATTTTATACATGAAAAAAAATATTCTAAAATAATAAAATAACTTACTGCATCCATGAATTGTGGTGACTTTACAAGTCATTCTACCGTCGAAGCAATGACAAAGGTGACAACCGGAAGCCATCCACGTTCCGTGACGAATACTTCCGCACGAGCGATGACGTACACGGTGCTCACAGAAACGACCATAGAAATTTCTGAAATAGACAAAAAGACATTATGATACTGGATTACAGCCTGAGGAGCATGAGAATATAATATATCCAGATAACGAACTTCCTGGCTGAGGAGTGTGGATTAAATGATTCTATAGACGTTATAGGCATCCTTCAACTTAAATTGATGTGATCTAGATGATACTAGCGGAAATATATTTTTATTTTTAATTAATAAATGTAAAAAATAAATAAATATTACTTTGAAATTATGACAATGTAATTATGATAGACAATAGCACAGTAAAATATCTTCGATAAAATCGATAGGCTAAATATTCACCAGACGATAATTTAAAAATTGATTAAGCAAGTTGTATAAAACTTTCTAGTATATCATGTGTAAGTATGCAAGTTTTCTATAAACTGAAAAAAGTGCACTTTTGTGTATCGTATTCAATAAAGATAGAAATGTACGGCAGTGAGTAAGAAGGCTAGCAAAAATTTAATTAATTTAACTAACGAAAGTAACTTTTTACTCATAAATATAAATGAGCCGCGTCATGACAAAACCAACATAGTGCGTTTGCGACCAGCATGGATCCAGACCAGCCTGCGCATCCGCGCAGTCTGATCAGGATCCATGCTGTGCGCTATCAGTTTCTCTACTTGTAATAGAGTTGGTAAGCAAACAGCATGGATCCTGATCAGACTGCGCGGATGCGCAGGCTGGTCTGGATCCATGCTGGTCGCAAACACACTATGTTGGTTTTCTCGTGACGCGGCTCAAATATTATATGATATATTTGTTACAATGACAGAGAAAAAAAACTGTATAAATGACATTAATATATTCAACTGTACTTACCGTTTGCAGTGACAGAATGTATTCATTATGCATAGCCCGCCATTTAAACAACAACTCTTCTTATCGTCTGCTTCTACAAGTCCTTTCTTGCCAGCATCTAAAATATACAAATGAAACTTTATAGAAATGCAACAGTTTTAATTATTTTCGTAGGTTTCGTAGGTTTCAATTCAAATATTTCTACAATATCCGGTTTTGTGCATGGTCAAAAGAACAACTTTTGAATCTAAATGCCCATTATGTTCCACAACTGCATTTACAGCACACTGCACTATTTGTTTGGTCTATAAAAATAATTTTACCACTTACACGTTTGGCCTTTAATGTTACTTATTAAAGTTTAGTATAAGCATAGACCGGGAGCGCGAATATCTAATAGTTGACAATGTCTCAATATATTCAGAAATAGTACATCAAATATTACTGAGCAGAGGGTTTTCAAATTCGTAAGACCCGTTTTCGCTAATAGCAACTTTTCGACTTTTTTCTTCAATATCCGGATAACATAATAGTCGAGGTGTTCCGATTGCCGCTGCGCATTGTGACAAAATGACAACATCCGGAATATAGAATTATTAACTGACAGTGCTATAAACAGTTATGTAAATTATATAAACCTATCTTTACAGTTACAAACTATTACATAAGGCTCAACATTATTAATCCTTTAACGAGAAAATGGGGATAATGTGACAATAGAAATTTAGTAAATCCCAATACTTCATAATCTTTTTCTTATCACTTCTTACAAAGCAAATGCCTCTTAATTAGACTTCCCACCTGCTTATAAAATATGATTTAAGAAATGGTGTGTGGGTTTTAAAAACATATTATACAAAAGTTATTCTTTCCCAATCAAATTTTCTATGACCAGTATACACATAATATACACATAAAAAGTTGATGTACGGATATGTTATTTAAACCCAACAGGCAGTATTTTATATGCACTTCAAATCGGAATATTTCCATCACTACCTGATTGTTTTAAATATTTCTTTACAATCTCCTAATTGCAATGTACGTTAATTATCTAAATATCTTGCTGATAACATATCATTCTAAGCGGACTTGACTACGATAACAATTTTAAAAGGATCGGATCGTTGATTAAAATCTCTATCGAAGCCTACTCTTAACGATAAGTCGGGTACAAATTCTCGGATCCAACACCCGACTTCTTAGATTATCGTGATGAATATGATAAAACCATACAACACCTGTTTAACAAGGATACCATAACGATATGTAGAACATTATACGTGTATAATAAAAATTAATTTCATGTTTTAATTATGAACTAACGGTTTGTTCTGATGAAAAGTATTTTTTCCAACTTTATGAAAGAATTTTTGATAATGAATGAACTATAAATGTATTACCTGATAGGTCCTGACTTGATTCTAAGGCTGTTGCAGTAACAACAAACGCAATGAACAAAATACTCCTGAAATATTAAAGTGACATGTTAATCTTTGTTATTTTGTATTTTAAATCTGTAACGAATGATGAAATATCAACATGAACGTTCATATTGACGTTTTGTACATTATAGTCTAAAATGCCGTAAAATGCCTTCTAAAAGTCTGCTGATCTTCGCGGAAAAGACTAGTTTAAGATTAATCTAGTACAAACATTAATTTAATATGAATATAACTATGTTTTAGTGTAACAGAATTTAAATTTTCGTACAAGAATAAATGAAAAACGTACATGTTTGTGTGAAATAAATCCATATTTAAACAATTTTAAAATCCAATGTATCTCAATGTATGCAAATGTTCAATACTTCCTTATCTTGAGATTAAAATCTGAAAGTGATATGAAAATAATTTCTGAAGTATTATATATTGTCTACGTGCTTTTGTTGACAAATTAGCGATACATTACTGGTTAATTTCTATTGGTTAAGCGCGCTACCTATTACCGGTCACGTGGTGTTAAATTGCCAATAACATCACACCTTTAATCGGATACGTCCGCCCCTCAGGAACTTCTTACAGGTGAGATAAATACCGTGTTAATTTTGATAAATTATGTAATTAATTTAACACTTAAATTAAGTGTAGATTAATTATAAATGGAAACAATCACATGCACAATTGAACAACAAATTGACCGTGTGTCAAAAATTGCTCACGGTCGTCTTCTGCGAATTTTAACCATCATGTCGTGTTCTCACTGAAGTCACAGTTTATCCTGTCACAATGATGATGAATTTTATGGTTTTCGTATAATGCACATTAATATATAGTTCTATTGTATATTTATTTACAGCAAATATAAAAATACAGAATTAATGTATAACATGTATACAGTTATGGTGAAAATATCATCAGAAAATGACACTTCATTGACAAGAACGGTTAGAGAGAATAGCACGCTCAACGAAGACATCAGTTGCGCCTTTATCATGTTAGTTCAAACAGCAGCGTAAGTTAACTTGATTGTTTCCTTACATAAATCCTGGCACAAAGGCGAAGGAAAAGGTGATTTGAAATCGGCGACTCGGCCACGAAGGCCTCCCAACAATTTTGATACTGACAAGTAAAATAAAGAAGTACAAAACTAGAAATGAAATGACCACTCTTTTACAAATATAAGTTAAAAATGGGAATTTATTCTAAAGTATCCTGTCATGTGCGACGTGGGTGGCGATTAAATTGTTCATGAGGGTGAAGGCATGAACTATCTTTTCAAAGTGTAAATTAAATTAATTAAATAACGACAACGGTTTATTATTTCCAATTGAATTAGAAGTATGAATATTGTTATGTAGATGATGATCAGGACTATCAATTTAGTAAAATATAAAACCATTTCATTTGACGTTAGGAGTAAATTTTGGGTTCTTTGGGTTGAATTATTGATAAAAAATGTACAAACATTGTAAAATGATGTTGGCCTGGTTGAGGGACAAGTTTGTAAAGTGGCTAAATAAAACGTCATCATTATTTCATCAACTTTATAACTATACTAGTACAACTCTGTACTTCATAAGTTTCCGTACAGTCGAGCTAAAATGTTACAATATGACACTAAATATATCTTGCAAAACCAATGTCTGTACAGAACTTCATTGACCTTGAAAGAAAATTCCTGTAAAAAATATATAACAAAATAGCGTGTACTAAAACCATTATTTCTTTAAATGCATGTATTGTATTTCTCATTTGTCAGAGATTTTCAATCCTTCATATCAATTATGAAACATGTAAGTGTATTATTTAACAAATAAAGTTACCGACAGTACATTTGACTATATTGTTAAGTATAGACAATTGTTAAATTTGATATCTTCAAATTTTAACCACGTAAACATCAAAGACTGACTAACCTAAAACTCGTTGCGGGGACGTAATTAATTTAAAAGGATCCGTTTGATATGGTGGTATATTTCTGCCACCAGATAACCATATATCTAACTAGTTAATTAAGAGGTTAACTAGTTAACCTCTTAATTAACTAGTTAGCTATGTGGTTAACTAGTTATGTAACTAGTTAATTTTTTCAATAGATAAAATATCATAACGGGAAATAAATGCATGTTAGTGCCTACAACTGCCATCCTTTTATTATGTTACCAGCTTGATATTAAGACGTTAACTAGTTACGTAACTAGTTAACATCTTAACTAACTAGTCACTTAAGAGGTTTACTAGTTACGTAACTAGTTAACCTCTTAACAAAGTTCCCGGTAGGTTCCTGGACTTTAGTATCAGTACTGGATTACACTTGGTGGTGGTGGTGGTGGTGGTAGGTTTCACTCGGGATCACGACAGTAAGCAACACTGAATTTACCAGAGCACAGTTCAGACACCGCATCGTTTCTGGGCAGGCTGTCAAGCAGTTTTACCTCACTTACGAAAGGAACTGAAACTTCTGTACATGCCAGAGCAGAGGTACAGTGCATAACTGCAAATGACCGTAGAAAGGAGTTCATGAACAATAACAACGAAAGTGAACCTTTACGTCCTGGAATTGAACCCGGATCGCCTGGTTTCTGTAAACTTTAAAAAGTCTCAAGTTTTTATTTAAAGATAAATTCAGATATCCGATTCTCTATGGCAAATTCTCTATGGCAACACATTTTCTTTATTTTAGACATTGATGGTAGAAAGTATGTTTCATAAATGTACATGAGCTCTTAGGGTCATTTCAAGATTACAATACATAGTTCTAAATTAGTAAATTTTAAAGCCAACACTAAACTAGGATTGGGGACTTGTCTTAAAGCAGCACATCTCCAGATTGTTTATAATATAAATAAGTGCAGACTTTTTAAATAATTATCTTTGTATATGAACATTTTAATTTTAATTCTTTTTATATAAATAATTGCCAGATGTATAGATAAAATGATTTTATTAAACTTAACGCATGTTATATATTAAGAACATTACCTAGGACATGTCTAAATACCAGCAACAACAAAAAAACCAGCACAAACGGAATCATGGAATGATAGTGTTTTTGACAAACAATGCAGAAGAAGCAAGAGCTTGACGGCATTTACTACATTACTCCAGCTTATGTAATACAGTCAATATTAATTAGATCTATATGAATAAAACTTTACATTTGCATATTAAAAGCAGATAATGCGGCATTTTTCATAGTACGAAATCGCGTTTTTTCATTAATAGAAGTTTTCTGTTAAAAGTGTATGATACTTTAATTCATGTGTACATATGTATGTTATGTTTATGTGAAATGGAATAAAGGAAGAATTTGTTCAAAAAGTCGTGTTGTTCTCTTATTTCAACTTGTCTACTTTTTAGTTTACGGTATAGACAATATAAAAATAAAATGTCAACTTATCAGAACTACTAAGACTTTGCAAAAAAAGTGAAAATGTTTTCATGTACAAAACTAAAATATGTTCAATGATTATTATTTGTAAAGTTTAATAAAATAAAATATTTATGAAAAAATAAAGTTATGTTTATAAAAGTTACATGTTTTTTTATCAAAAATTTAAAACTGTTTATTAATGTGTGTTGTTGTTGTTGTTGTTGTTGTTGTTGTTGTTTTAAAGGTGTTTAATAAACGAATATAAATATAACGCATTGTTTTATTCATTGATATTGAAAGTACGTT